CACCCCCTTCCTGCTTTAAGCCCCACCCCCTCCGTTAAGCTCACCCTTCTCCTTTAAGCCACACCCTCTTCCTGCTTTAAGCCCCGCCCCCCTCCGCTAAGCCCCGCCCACCTTTGGTGATGGCGGCGGTCAGGGTGGTCTTGCCGTGGTCCACGTGACCGATGGTTCCCACGTTGACGTGGGGCCGATCCCGCACGAAGGCCTCCGCCGCCAGGTGGCGCCTCTGCCGGAGGACCACGTCACGTGACCCAGGTGCCCCTTCTAGCCCTCCCCCCCACCCGCTCCCATTCGTCTCTATGCTCACCCCGACGTTGGCCAACGGCAACCGGCGGCATCGCAGCGCTGCGACGGAGAAGCGAGAACAAAATGAGAGAAAATGGGGGTAAAAAGAAATAAAAAAGGACAAAAGAAAACCAGCGGTCCTCTCCGAACCCCTCCCCCATCGCTCCGTACCCGCCGCGCGCAGGAGGGCCGCGGGAAGCGCCATCTTGGACGTCCTCACTGCCGCGGGCCGGACGTGACGTCACGCTGCGCGACAGGCGCGGTTGTGGGCAGAGCGGTTTCCGGTTTCTCTCCCGCTCGGCGCTCTAAGCGCGGTGGAGGTGCGGCTCTGTGGTGTTTTGGAGGACTGAGGGGAATGAACGGGGACGGAGCGGAGGGGAGGGGGGCGGAAGTGGGGCTGGAGCCCCATAGCGACCCATAGGGACCCACGGGGACCCATAGATCCCATAGAGACCCATAGATCCCATAGACCCCATAGAAACCCCATAGACCCCATTGAGACCCCAAAGACCCCATAGAGACCCCATAGAGTCCCACAGACCCCATAGAGACCCTATAGCGCCCCCCAGACCCCAATGGGACCCCAATAAAGCCCCACAGAGACCCTACACAGACCCCATAGAGCCCCAGTGACCCCACAGAGACCCCATAGAGCCACAGTGACCCCATAGAGATCCCATAGAGCTCCAGTGACCCCACAGAGACCCCATAGAGTGACAGTGACCCCATAGAGACCCCATAGACCCCATAGAGACCCCACAGAGCCCCAGTGACCCCACAGAGCCCCCATAGACCCCATAGAGACCCCATAGAGCCCGCATAGACCCCAGAGAGACCCTACAGCCCCAGTGACCCCATAGAGATCCCATAGAGCGACAGTGACCCCACAGAGACCCCATAGAGTGACAGTGACCCCATAGAGACCCCATAGAGATCCCATAGACCCCATAGAGCCCCCAGTGACCCCAGAGAGACCCTACAGCCCCAGTGACCCCATAGAGACCCCACAGACCCCATAGAGACCCCATATTGACCCCATAGAGACCTTACAGCCCCAGTGACCCCATAGAGACCCCACAGACCCCACAGACCCCATATTGACCCCATAGAGATCCCATAGACCCCATAGAGACCCCATATTGACCCCATAGAGACCCCATAGAGATCCCATAGACCCCAGAGACCCCATAGAGCCCCAGTGACCCCACAGAGACCCCACAGAGCCCCAGTGACCCCATAGAGACCCCATAGACCCCATAGAGACCCCATAGAGCCCCAGTGACCCCATAGAGCGACAGTGACCCCACAGAGCCCCCATAGACCCCAAAGAGACCCCATAGAGCCCCAGTGACCCCACAGAGACCC